GCCCGCAGGACCAGAGAAGTGACTCGGGCAGTGGCCAGATGTCTTGCTGTCTACAGCGCGCGCCGCCGCTCAGCACTCGCCTTTATAATCTCACGCATAATTGGCCTTAATCTGATTATTTCCAGCGCTGTCTACAGCGAGTAACTTGGATAGGTCTATTGGGCCTTACAAATGGCCCACGTGGTGTAAAAAAAAAAATCCGTCATTTCTCAGAAAACATCAGGAATGGTGTTTTTTTTTTTATCCTTTTATTTTAAAAGAGGACAGAAATCACCACCGCCGCCATCATCCCCCAAAAAGATATCATATTCCGAACACTCGGGCCCCCACTTCTACCCCCACCCGGCGTCCCCTCAGAGGCAAACCTTCTTCCCGGAGACCTTGTCAGAGGCCTGGCGACTCCCCGGCTGTGAATTGACAAAGCGCTGCTAATTGTCGCTGCCGGATGAGTTTTGGGGGGACTCTCTGCACACGGCTTCCCTTTCCAAGCGATCATACAAAAGGAAAGTTTGATTTTGTTCTCAGCAAGGGGTCCCTGGATTTATGTTCGCTTCTCCATGCAAATGATATGCGGTGGGACCCTTCGCAATTACTTTTAAAATGCATCCGAGGCAGACACTCAGCGGAGAGAGACCGCCCTTCTCTCTGCCTGGGTGAAAATTAAACTCTAAAGTACCGGGCTGAAATTTTCAAGTCAGGGGCGCGGGATTGGATCAAATCACATAAACTGCAAAAAAAGCAAGTCTAATGGCGCATAATTGGTTCTGTAATAGCATTACACCGGGATAATAGCCCGTTACGGCCCCCTGCACTATTAAGTGCTTCCCTGGCGGAAAGCCTTTATGATATTAAAGGGGGAATATAATGATATTTTGGTTATTAAATGCGTGTAATTAATTTATGCACCACTGAAAATAAAGTTGGTATTATGACCCACTCAAGATGCATCAGAAGATGCAAGTCAGACAACTGTTGATAAGTTCTGGTGTCTGTGTTCCGTCTAGACTGCTGGTTTTATTTTGGGACGATGGCTTCTTGGACAGACTGCACAAATTGAATATTTTATA